AATGTTACGAAGCATTTACAGATGTCTAAAACTAAATACTAACATGAACACTGTTCATCGAATATATATATATATGAAAAGTGGTTTGGTTAAGGTAAATTTAAAAATTTGAGGTTTTTTTCCCCTTTAATCTTTTCCAAATATTTTTCTTCACAACTTAAGTGCCCACAGTGATACTCAGTGCTAACAAGACTGAAATGCTTCAACTGCAGGTAGCAGACTCTTTTTAGTGCTTGCTATCCTGAAAAGTATATTCAGGATATACAACAGTATGATGTCAAGTCAAGGGATTCTGATTTTTTTCTATTATGTCAAAGGCCACATTTCAAGAGAGAAAGTCAGTTACATAAATAACTGAAATGAAAATTCCATCCATTGTCATTGACAAATACTAATTGTTTTTGTTTTTGTTTTCCAATCAAGGCCCAGGCAGAACACTGAAGTTTTGCCACTTATTTCCTAAGAAGGGTTTTAAATATAAATTTACCAGGCTGAATGTTCCATATTCTTCCCTGAGAAAATGCGTCAAAAATCCTAGCAATGTTGTCTGGTCTCCCCAGGTCCACCGGGCTTGGTTGAGGTAGGATGAGATAGGAAGGTAGACATAAGGCAGCAACCCGGCAGAGAAGTACAGACTCAACCTCAGCAGAAAGCCCAGGGAGAGTTCCTGCAGCAGAGCACATTGGGTTGTAGAACAATGTTTATTTTAGTCGATTCATCCTGGAACTTCAAGAATACATCAAGGAAAACATCAAATGTGTTTACTCAGAGCTGATCTTTCAATTTATATTAAGTCACCACAGAATACTATGTTAAACCTTCTGATTACTGTGGATTACTAGAAAATTGCATCTGACTGAACTCCTTTGCATGGCAGGCGAAATCTGAGTGAAGCAAATAATATTAGCAAAGACTCACGAGTATCAAGTTTATTATATCTCTTACATTTAAAACCATGTCATGACATGCAGCATTGCACAGCTGAGATAACCCAGTTGGAAGTGATTAAGTGTTGTTTGGCTGATTTTGAATATGCCCAAAATACTATTCTAACACCAATTCACTTCATCATCATCATCAGGATGTTACTTTATTATGATCATACATTGACAATATAAGTCTTTCAACAAGAGTTCTGGACATTTCATGGACATGTTTGGCACAAATGAAGCAAATGAAGCTAGCTTTTACATAACCTCTAAGCTCATCCAAATGCTTTTTTTCCCTCAATTTACATACAGGATAGAGTACTAAAGGAAATTTGTTGTTATATGTAACAATGTTGCCTCATATACCTTATTTGGGGGAATATATTTCTCATCTGTACACTTCTAAAAGAGGACAATATGGACAAAGTTTCATAAATATGAAGTCCAAAGGGTATAAATTCTGGTCTATTGAACCAATTCTAGTATTTGAACCAAGATTCAAACACCGATTGCTTTAGTAACCGGGAAAGGCGTCTCTTACAAATATCGTATTTGCAGATTGTCAGTTTTCCTTTACAGAAAAAAGAAATCCATATGTGAGGATGAATATAAGAAGCAAGGTTTGCATTCACCAGAAGTAGAACAAGCAGTTGATTTATATTAGCATTTTCAAATAAACATCTTAATTGGAAATGAAGTGTTTTATTATAGTACTGATTTCATTTGAGATTTCTATAGCAGTAATGAGATGCATAAAAAATGATGGCATGAAAAGAGTGTAAGAAATAACTAATCTAACAATATGCCTTTGCTATTCTTAAAAGTGATTTTAAAGAAAGTAAATGTTTATTTTGGCAGTTCCTGCATACTACAAAGTTGAATTTAGAATGGGAAGATGCAGTTGCTGCAGAAGTTTCCTTTTGTGGGAAAAATAAACAGGGAGACAGCTATTACTGAGAGTTGGGAGTGGTTCTTAGTCCTAGCTGCACATTAGAATCACCTGGGGCAGCTTTTTAACAATAGTGATGTCTGAGCCTCACCCAGATCAATTATATCAGAATTAGTTATTATTTATTTATTATTAATTATTATCCCCAAATAATCCCACACACATATACATATATACTTACTAGATAGGTGTGTACATGTGTATGTACAAATGTGTACATACACACAGTTTTTTAATGCTTCCCAGATAATTTAAGTTCACAGCCAGGGCTGAAACCAACTGATGCAGGATTTCCTGCTCTGCGTCAAATCGCACCTAACACCTCAAATCCAACCATCCTGCCACTTCATTGGTAGGTCTTATTTTCTAGCCTCTGCTACTTAAATAATGGAAATGAAGGGTCTGTTGAAGAGCCACAGTTCTCAAAATTTCATCATTCATTGGTAGCTTCCCTCAGCACAGGGCAAACAAGCCCTTAGGCCAGGCTCCCAAATTGTCAACTCGGAGTCCTGCATGCTTTATAGAAAGTGTATGGCTTTCCTTTCAGTAAACGAACATGAAATATGTGCTTTTTAGGTCCTTTCCAGAGCATGCACCTCTCTGATGTCTGTTCAGGTCAGACGCCTGGCTAAGACGACTGACGCTAGAGTGGGACATGCTGTCCATCTACCCCCATCTGTGCATCCACTGATTCACAAGAAAAATATTTGGGCCTCCTCAGCGTTGTATTCCATAGAAAAGTTTCACTGAGTTATAGATCATATCTCCATTTTTAAATCAAGGGTTTACATAATAAGAGACCATTTAAAGAACTTTCTGCACTCTGTAAAACCACTGTTAATGACACTGCTTGTTTTATATCCCTTACATAAGGACTTACATGATTGACTTCACAGAATTTAGTTCCAAGGAAAAGTTGCTCTTTCCAGTCAACTGTTATGTTTCCCTTTTTATTTATTTTTAATCACATACTAAGAATTTCATAATCTCTGTTACCCTTTTTGCTTTGCTGTTAAGGAGCTCAGAACCAAAATGTGTTCAAGTATAGTAAATACAGTTATCTAAAAGCTTTGGTATAATTATGACCCTATTTCTATATAATAATTTTATTTGCTTTGTATGTTTTCTATTATAATTTAATTATAGCTGGGTATAATTAACAAATAATAAAATAACAAATAAAGCTGAGTTTGTTCACAAACAAACAATAAATAAAGTAAAATGACTCCAGCACTGGCTTTGTATACAGACTATTTTAACCTCTGGGTACCTGTATCTCCCAGTGCCTAATGAAGTAATTTTCCTATGTTGCCTTTTATTGCCATTTTAATTAACAATCATGTTTTCTTTCAGAGAAAGAAGAAATGAAAATGAATCATTTTTTATTCTAGGGAGACAGATTCTGAGAAAATAGGAGTGCTATTTATCAGAGATTTTACTATTTAGTTCATAATAGCAGAGATGTTGTCTGTTGTGTTGACAGCTAAGTCTCCAGCACCTGGAGTAGGCTTATGGCACAGAGCAGAGAGAGCTGAATGAATGAAGTGTTACTAGCACACCACTCTGTGTCTTAGAATGTATAGTAAAACAATTAAGGAAATTTCATGTTGTTGCTTTAAGTTCTTTCAGTCTATTTTCATCAAGGTGCTGTTCAGAATCAGGAAATTATGAAACAGGCCAGATGCCACTGCAATCAATACTGCATAATTTTTGTAAATCCTATTTTTTTCTGTCAATATTGGTAGGGCCCAAGGTTATTTATGCTTTACATGAAAACCAAGAAAAATTAAACCTTCATGTTTTCTGATGATACAAATGTCATATAAGATCTAAGTAAAATATTATGAATTTTAATTTTTACAAAATTCACAAACATACCTTCTCTTTTAAAAGTCGAAAGAGAATCCAAGGTATTATGCACAAAATATAGAGTACTATTGTGTGCTGATTACATAAGCTAAGGCCACAGCAGAAAGCACCAATTTTAGCTATCTGAAAATAAATAAAAGAAAAAAAAATCTAAGTTAAAAATTCACCAATACTCTAAGTAAACACAAACACAAAAAGCCATTTTTTATATAAAAACCAAGCATTTGTATTATAGGTCAGGTTAAAATCAACCTCTCAGATGCAAGCAATTATACTTTTAACAGTCACTAATATTTATCACCATTATTTTTGTTAATATTTTCCACATCAAGTAATTGCAGTTTGAACTTAAATAATTGTCTTCAAACTGACTTTTAGAAAGTCCTGTATGATGACTAGATAAGTTCTAACAATACTAGGGTATTGCATAATTCTTATTCAAGTAAAATCTACAGCTGAAATTCAGTAATTGTTTTACTTTTTCTCCTATTAAATAAATGAAATATAGCACCTTTTATCTAATTAGAACCCTGGTTATCTCAGGGTGGTGTTTTGACTTTTTTTAATATGTGTTAGTTTCATAATTGACAAAGATTCTCTCTTTGACCAAACTCTAGTCAAGCTCCTCTGAACCATCTCCTCAACTAGGCCCTGACTTTTGGGCTTCCACATTTATCTCTGCATTGTCCAGTTTTAGCAAGAATCCTACTAAGTCAGCTTTGCCAGAACCTTCCACCCTCAACATGTGATCACACTCGATATCTGATCAGGTTGCTCATCCTCTATCATTCCTCAGGTGATGTCTGATCACCCTGGTCTGCCTTTAGCAAGGATCCAGTTAAGTTGGTTTATCCAGAATTTCCCTTTATCCCTGATGTTTCCTCTCAGTGATTTCCTATCCACTGACCCACACCCTGATCCTTGCCTATAAATTCCCACTTTTCCTTGTTATATTTGAAGTTGATCCTGACCTCTCTCCCCTAGTACAAAACCCCACTGCAATAGCCCCTATACCTGAACCTGAATAAAGTCTGCCTTACCATTCTTTAAACAAGTGTATTGAACCATTTTTCTTTAACATAAACAAATTTTTTAAGCAAAAAACAAAAAAAGAAACCTCTAATAGCGTCACAGATCTATTTATGGGAATCATAGCTAAACCATGGTGTTCTTTTGTTTCTATTCTTTAATGACACAAGGCTGCCTATACTAAGATGTTTTAGCATCTTTCAATGTATAGACTGTAAGCTCTTAGAAGATAGGGTTCTTTCACATTTCAAATTATTCTGACGATAGCGTCTGCATTAAAATTCACTGTAATCTCTTCTGAACTACTTTGTTTCTACATTTGATCCTCTTCTTTTAGTTAAAAAAAACTACAAATTTGATATTTTTTTTGGCAACTAGGGAGTGAGTCAGTATATCATAATTTAAGGGGGTCAGTGCAGAGCTTGGCACCTTATGATAACACACACACGACAAAAGCCCATCTTTCCCATACGACACAAAGGAATTTCATAATCCCCTTAATCTCCAAAAAACTTCTGAACTCTGAGGGCAAAAGAAGTTTTTATGTTTTATAAGGGCTATCACAGTTCCATCCATGATAAAAAAACTGAGAACATTTTCTTTTGCAACACGCCTAGATTACCTTCACAGTAATCAGCATAGACAAACAGTATTTAAACCAAAGTTAAAAAGAAATACAGCATCTGTCTAAAAATTAAAACAAATAAATGATTTCACTTTGATCAAAATAGGTTACCTTTGATCTCTCCTTTGCAGATGCCGCCTCCTCAAAATGTACAGTGAGAGCCATAAGCAGCCCCACAAACAGATTGTTTAAGCTAAAAACCTCTGCTGCAATGGACCACTGCCATGTTAGACGAGAAAATGAAAACACCCCCGCAGCAAGGATTCCTCCAGCATATGAGCCAGAAAGCCTGCAAACACAGATAACATGAAATCTTCTTTCCCAACAAAAAGAACTAACTTTATTTTCCTTTTTATAAACTGTACCAGCAGAAATTATGACAGTCACCCAGCACTATCCTAACACATTATATGGCTAATACATTACTTCATGTAATGATTTCTTTCAAGAGATTTTAATTAGGAAGTTCCTATGTTAACCTATTAACAAACAAATAAACAGACCTATGGATAGAAAGAGGGTTAGTCTTCAGATGTAACTGCTAGGATTCAAGCCAGTTCAGAAAACCTTAAGAGACAGTAGCTAGAGAGATAACAAACCTACGTCATTCTCTTGCTATACCTATGAAGAAGGATGGTCTGAATAAGACCTAAATATGTTTAATTGTAACAGTTAGTTAAATGGCAAAATATTTATTCAAGAAAACTCACTCTCACTTCAGGTGGAATGTGTGGATCTAGGTACCTTCTACCCTTATCTCTCAACATATAGCAAAGAATGTCTGTCACATACTTGGTGATTTTAAGTTCTTGTTCAGCAAAGTGCTTAGTTTGTAATGGTTTTTTCTTTAGACAAAGTTGAAGTTAAAAATAATAGTTTTTTTAAATGAGGGAGATGGGAATATGAAGTTCAATAGCACCAAAAGAATCAAATGCTACACTTGGAAACAAATTTTTCACCGCCAAATGTCAACAAGAGCCATATATTTTAAATCAATCAGGAATCTGGATGTCAATTCAGAGATCTGATTTGAGATTGGTAGTGTGGTTGAATATACCAGAGCATATCAAACCAAAACAGCTTTCCATTTCATGATAAATCTAAAACTATGAAAAATAAAGCTATTACCAAATATCTATTTCTAACAGAAAATTCAGCAAGCAGTACTATGTCTAATGATTATGACCTTCTATAGCCCCAAGTCAGTGATTTTCAACTATATTATTGTGTATAAAAAGTCACGGAGTATTTCCATGGCTTTTAATCAACGATTATAGGAAAAAACAGTTAAATAAAAATTTTGATATCATCAAATCTGTTTTTTCTTTGAGTTTCTATTTGCGATTTATTTCTGTTTTCTTTCCCTTATAAAAATCAGCAATTTCCTATTTCTTTCAGAGTTTCCCATTCTCCCGTAATCTTGATTTAAAATACTAACATCGTTTCTCCCTTTCAAATTCCTTTCCTAGCTATTCATTTCTTTTGATTTGTATTCCTACTGCCTTACTCCCAATTATTTTAACAGTTTTCTAATTTGTCTTCTGTTTTTCAATCTATTCTGCAATATTACATCATATCAAATTTCCTAAAACATACTCTTTATGACTACACAGCCCCAAAACTTAAGGACTCTTCATTGCCTATAGGATAAAGTCTAAATCAGTCAGCCTGGAATACAGACTTCCAATAAACTGGATCCCACCCTTCCACTAATTTCCAACATTATTATCTCCACCAAATAGTCAGGTTCCTCATAATTCCCTAATAAGACATGCCGATTCCTAGCACTCTACCTTTGCTCATTCTATACTCATGAATTGAATATTCTCCCTGCTCCTACTTATTCAAATCTACTTCTTTCTCAAATTTCTCCTCAATTCCCAAGTTTCTAGCTCATCTCTATACATCTACAGCATTTATTTGCCTCTACCAATTATTTTGACATTGTTTTTGAAATGTCAATTGGAGTTAAACTTCATTTATATTAGAAGCATCTAGCCCTAAGCACACAAAGGAAACTTAGTGAATAAGAGAACAACTGAAGTATTTCTAATGTTTTTAAAGGAACTTCTATGTCTTATCTGTCAATAACATTTTGGAAAGTCAGCATAAGATACAAGATTCCTTCCTCTACTTAAAACATAAATTAGCATCCCTGGAGAAATGGCTTATTCCAGAGCTGGGGTAGCTAAAGCACAAAATTAGTCTGAAACATCTTGTCCCAGAAAGTAAAGAAATGCTCAGAGGACGACGGGGACATGACAGAAGGACATGGGAGCCAGCAGAAAAGGGCTCCCACTGGCCAAATCAGGGATAACTTGAGCATCAAAATAATTATTGTAATAGCTTTTAAGTCAATGAATAAATAAGAATCCATGAATCTACAGTGATGTAAATAGGGGAGAAGGACTGCATTTGCCTTTCCATAGAAAGTCAGCTAGTAATTGCAGAAGAAATGATGGAATTAGAAATCACCTTTGGGCAACATTCTCAACAACAATCAATGAAAACCAAAACTAGAGGGTAAAAATTTTGGAGTAACAGAATATGTACAGTCTTGAGGTATCTCCCTATAAATAGATTAATTACAAAGGGAAAAATGGTAACTTTACAGTGGTGAGAACTGGCAGACACAATCTTAGCCACATGACCAAAGTTAACAGCACCAGTAAGGGGACAAACCAACACCATGTGCTTCCTGGTCTATTCCAGTGAAAAGAATACAGCATCATTTCTGTGGTGTTCCTGCCGGAAATGTTACCTGACACTAAGCAGAAGAAAGTCCTGCTATAAATAAATCCTCAGTAAGAAAACTCAAGATTTACTACTCTACAATGATTTTTAACATGTTATGACACTCAGGAAGACATCCTAAAGTCTTTGAACTGTTGACATTAATTACTGGAATTATCAACTATGTTAACTGGCTTTTCAAATATTTCATAAGGTTTTAAAAATTGAAGAGTAATGTAAAATTATTAACTTCAGTGATAAAAGTTATTCAGTCGCTTTAGATTATTAAACATAGGTACATTTGCATTTTATTAAAGACTAATTCCACATCAGCAAGGTCTATAATCTGAATTTTCTCTCCCTATTTCCCCCACAAGGTCAGGATGGTTTTGCAACGAATAAGCCACATATTCTTTTATCTGATTTTCCTTGGTAACAGATAAATAATTTGTGAAACTCCTGAGTAAAATTATAGAAGATAAGGTGGCTGATGATAAAACCATTAATGGCAATAAAATCTATAACCTTGACCTTTTTAGCATCAAATGAACTTGCTCAGAAATCAAACTATGTCTATGGCAATTTACATTGTAGTCCTAATGTAAATTGCACACAAGAGAGTAGTGGATCTTTTAATTTGTTTGTTTCCCAACAGCAGTGTAAAAGGACCTGATTTCTCCTAGTGAGCACTTGTCATCTGGCTTTTTAATTCTAGCCACCCTAGTGGGTATGAAGTGGTATCTCATTAAGATTTTCATTTGCATTTTCCTAATGGCTGAAGATGCTGAGCATCTTTTTCTATGTTTATTGGCCATTGGTATAAACTTCCTTGGAGAAATGTTTATTTAGATCCTTTACCCATTCCTTAAATTGGATTATTTATGTTTTTATTATTAAATTGTAGAGTTCTCCCCCAACTTCCTTTTAATATGTTTCTTTTCTGCTAAACACAGCCAGAGTCAACTGCTTGCAACCAAGAACCCTGACTGAAATACACTGTTTTCCCCCTTTCATATAATTTCTATTATGTTTTCAAGGGAAACTGTGTGAGGAAATTCTGAAGATTTAAGGTGATGTTCTCTTAGCCTTGTGGGAAACAGAAGAGAGGGAGCATGCCTCTAAGAGCAGAAAGTTCTGTGTGCACCCATACATAGGACATGTAGAATGGGAAGCATTTTGGAGGCCCCATCGCTTTACTATTCGTGTTTGTCATAAAAGAATCTATGTAGGCTAAGCCCATATGAATTTCTTTCATTTCAACAGTATTTTCTAAGTCAAACTCTGAAATCTCCTTAAAATGCACATATTTCAACACACTGCCTTTAAAAGTTTGCTTTATGCTAAGATGCACAATCAGTCAACAACTACTGGCCATGTAACATACAAAAACGAGTGGATTAAAAAAAGTAGAGATAATTTGAAACATCTGTTGTAGAAAAACTCTGCAAACTCAAGAGAGATACACACAAGGCTTTGTGGGTAGCAATATATGCTCAGCTGAGGCTGTAGACGACAGAGGCTGTGGAGATAAAGAGGCAGCATCAGTCTGCACTGCCATGCAAAGGTTTGTGGCAGACTGCAGCAGGCCAAGAGAAGCTGGATGGAGCCAGCCTTAAGGGCTTTATTAGGTGAGAGGGACAGAAGGACAAGAGGACAGAAGGACAAGAGGGAAAGTTTTAAAGTAATGGGCCATGGAGCCTAGACTAGATAGAGAAGGAAGTGAAGCCAGCAGGGGGCTGATGGAAGAGGAAAGGAGGAGGAGCAAAGGGTGGTAGGTCTCAATTACACAAGGACAGCAGGAGGCATCAAGGAAATGAGTGAAATGAAAGCTAAAGTCATGCCAGGGAGTGAACAGTGGGTTGGGGAAGGGAACATTAAATTGTGAGAGGATGGAACAGGCCAGTTAAGCAAGATTGAACTCTATGGTTAAAAGCAGCCCATGACAGAAGAGAGTTTAATAAAGCTGTTCTCAAAATCATAAGACTTTCATTAAAACTAAGGATTTGTCCTGAAAGCCAAGCAGTGGTTGGTACACCATGCATTAATAATAAGTCTGCAGGCTGAGTGCTGTGTAGGAATACAGGTGTGTGGCCCAGTGCCACAACTTCACACACACGCATGCTAACAAGATGTGAGCCCCCACGTCAGAACTCGGCAAGCTGAGTCTGTGATTTGTGCTGACATGTCAAAGGATGATGTCAGCAGTGGTAAGAATGATGACTTTCTGAAGACTTTGGAGGGCTTCAATTCATTCACTGAATCTGTAGGAAGGCAGTCTCATTATATTGCTCAAGTCATGTTTCCTGCACATTATCTGAGCATGCTTCATTTGACCTTAATGAGACAGAGATAAGTGACTACAAAGCAAGCTGACACCAAGGATGATTTCGTGAAGGCAAGTTTCAGGGTCAGGACTTAGCTCAGTATCTCGCACTGTCCACACATGCGGCCTCTACCCCCTGCTCTCTAGCACTCTACTGAAGTTGCTCCCACTGAGGTCCCCAATGATAATAGGCTCTCTGGACCTCCCTGCTGTGTTGATCTACTGAGTTGACT